TGAACTATTGCCAAATATTTAGATCACTTTGAAAAGCTAGTTCAAAATGTTAATTTTTCTTTATTCTTTAGGAACTAGCTTTATGATCTATAAGTTTCAGTTATTTAACAATCACCAATGTGTGCCAACGAAGGAAAGAGCATAGTATGAAAAAAAAGGTACAAGAGCCAAATCTGAGTTTAAATCATCACCACTTTTTAGCTATTTTAAATAGACTTGTCACTTGTCTTTGAGTCGGTTTTCTAAACTTTCAAATGGTGACTGATGCTTCCTACAAGATTACTTTGAAGCAAAACACCTGACTCATGGTAGGTGTTTAGTAACAGGTAGCTGCTGTTATGACTGTGATTACAATTCATGCACTAAGGAAGTAAGATGACAAGGGATGGGTCCTGATTACAAGAGCTCATGGATTTCTGAGTGTAACCACCTAATTCCAAGATAGGAAATATACATATTTAACTATTTAAATGGCATACCTTAAAAATATAGTATGCCATCACTATACACAACCACACACACATACATCAGTATAGGAAAACTGGTTTGTACCAAAAAGTTTATTAAACTCTTCGAAATTGTCCAAACTACTTTTCATATACTACTCTGTCCTAGCATTTGCTATGCACTAGGACAATAAAATAGCATTTATTACTACCTCTATTTTATAGCATTAAGAGGCTGATTTATGTTACCTAAGATCACATGTTAATTCTGGAGGAACCTAAGGTTTTCTTATTCTTCTTTCACTACCTCAGAATGATGCACTACAGTGTTTTCTATAAAAACATGAACATTTTTAATGATGCAAAGCTGATTCACAAAACACAGCTAAAATCTTCATAAAGGAAAATATTACATGGCCACGATCTTCCAAACACTGTTGATCTTCAGTGCTACTTCTAGTTTTGAGTTTCCATTTATAATTTATGATCCCGTATTTCAATACATATGCTTAACCTACCATCTATGCATCTCCTTTCTGCTTTTGTGCTTCCTCAGAATAGAATTTAATTGTCACACTACATGGTCAGATTGTGCTTTAATATTAAATTTCCATTTTAAATTCTGAGGCATTAAAAACCCTCCACTGAATACTGATCTGGCCCCTAGATTAAAGAGATTCAAAGTGAAAAGTTCTCAGAAGATCCTAGAATCATCCCCAATGTATCTTTTCTTGAAGATATGGATTACTGAATGGTCAGTTCGCTTGGCACAAACTAAAGGTCTATTCTGTGTCACAGACTTGAATTGACGTTTCTCCCAAAGTCATCTTGCAAATTTACATGACTTGCTGAACTCACCTGAAAAAGAATACGGATGATACTGTACAAAGCACTTACTATTACTGAAAAGAACAAAATACTCCAAATAATGTCTTTTATTGATGACGTGGTTGTTATAATTGTTACACTCAATAAACTACATATATTCTTTAAATAAATAATTCTCCAAAAATCATAAAATAATTTATGTGAAGAAAAAAATGTAATAAGAATCCAGAGCCCTGGCTGGTATGTCCAGTAGTTAGAGCATCTGACTGGGAACTGAAGGGTCATGGGTTCCACTCCTGGTAAAGGGAGTGTACCTGGGTTGGAGGTTCGATCCCCAGTCCCAGTCTGAGTGCATGTGGGAGGCAATCAATTGATGATGTGTCTCTCTCACATTGATGTTTTTCTCTCTCTCCCTCCCTTTGCCTTTCTTTCACTCACTCTAAAAAAATCAATGGGGAAAAAATCCTTGGGTGAGGATTAACCAAACAAACAAAGAATACAGAAATAACTCAGATAGTAATTTATTGATCGTTGGTTATTTTGTGCATTCTGTTCATTTGAGTATGGAATGAAGTTATAATATCATGGAATGTGTGATCCACCCTTAAAGTGTGGCCACAGTTATCATAAGATAAAATTATAGTTTGACAATGTAATTTTGGTGATCAATTAAAACATAACATCTTCAAATATTCAACTGTTCTATAAAGTAGGCATTTTAATTGTGAGTAAAGAAATCAGAATTTTATATCAATTATTACCATGTAGTAGATACTGAAAATAAGATAGATCTAAAAAAAAAAAATCCTTGAGAATTATCACCACATGGGTAATAGTTATTTAATGACTTTTGTAAGTGATAAAAATTCAGTGATATTAACTATACCTTCACAATTTTTAAAAATCCAAAGTGAACAAAACTATATGTACACAGAAACACTTTAATCAATATGTTGTATGCTATAGAGGTCACAGAAAAATTAAAAGCTTACAAAAGAAAATAAAATGCTATTTTAATGAAGAAAATTTTAATGCCAGCCTAAAGTGGTGCTAAAATTCTGACTAAAACATGGCAACTGGAATTGAAACAGATTTAGTTCTTTAAGAAGTTGTTTCTAATTCTGAAGCCACATATGTGCAGGCACACGTGATGGAGAATGCAAGGGTTGCCATGGTAAGTACACATCTTTTCTTGGACAGTCAAGTATAAAAATAAAATGTAGAAAAACTCTCACTTCATAATATGTCATGGAAATTGACTCTGCTTCCCCTACCACAACAAATTAGTATGATGCAATGCAGTATAGGACAGAAATAGCCCACACTTTAAAAACTTCAGCCCATTAAGATGGCTTATAAAACATGGAGTGAAAAATAAAATAAGAAATCTCCAAGTTAGGTAACTCTAATTAAATGATGGGTCGAGAGCAAGTTCTGCCTCCCTGAGATTAATAATCACAGGCCAGGACATTCCACAGGCCTGAGAAATCTCCCCAGGAGTCCCAACACAGACATAGCTAAACATCACCCTCTATATACTTTAGGCCTAAGCATCTAATTTTTAAAGAAAAATAAAATCATTCCTACATCCTAGCTAAATTTCTCATCCTGTCCTGGATCAGTGGTTTTCAAGAAGCACGATTTGACTCTGACCTACTGCCTTTTGCAAGAAGATCTTGTGGTGCTTCTCTTAGAGTCTGTGAAGTCAGCTCAATGTCGCCTGGATGGAGGCGTTACACTTGGACTGGGGAGGTGGCAGAATCTGTTGCTAATCCCATCAGGTTCCCAGGCACTGGGGAACCCACGTGTGCAGGGGCTGGAGAACTTTTCCACCGCATCTCAGAGAAGGAATGCTTCACTTTTAAATTGGAAGCTGGCTAGGCTGAGGGGCATGGTGGGAGCTGGGCGGTAAGAGAGGGAGAGGTGGGCAGCAGAGAGGGTTCAAGCAGTTCACAGGTATCTATCTATCTACCTATGCTCTCCACCATGTATCCCCCCCCCCACTCCCGTCAACTTTAATATTTTCCCCTCTTATACGAGGACTTAGCAACTGGGATACTGAGCATCTCATAGGCTCAGCCTAGAACAAAGAAAATCGAGTTCCTAATACTGTATCTCCCCGGTTGGAGAGATCACGTGTCCTGCTTTCGCTGGAATGCACTCTTGTCGCCCACGCTAGAAAATCTCTATTGTGCTTAGAAATTTGGTCCAGGTACAAATATGCTCACATGCAAATTGCTTGACATCTATCAAGAGGCATATTGCAATGAATGCAGGTACGCATAGGCACCTGCTGACCTAGTTACCAATGCAGGTAGAGGCGATGCGTGGAAAGTGTGCTGGGAAAGTCACCAAAAGGAGCAGGTGGAGGATCTTTATGTCTCACCGCACCCCCTCCCTCCTAATTCTTTCTGAAGGGGAACTTCGACAGGAACGTGGGAGCCGTGGGAGTCGCAGATGGTTCCCTTCTGAAGCCAATTCCCGGGAGTTGAGAAAGTGACCCCTTCCCTGCTCTGCCTGCGCTGCCCCCTCTCGCCCAGCCCACAGGCTTTGTGACTTGGTGGGGAGGAGACGGTGCGGGAGAGGAGAGGGCGGAGGCGGGTCCTTTATTCGGCCCGATGGCCAAGAAGTAGTACCATGGAGCAAGGTTGCAGCCATCCCCGTCACTGTGAAGTCACACATTAAAGACATTCTACGCCTCCCCATCCCCGCAACCCCCGTCTGGACTCGGCCAAGCAGTTAGCCTAGAGACCTTCGGAAACCAATCTAATGGCCCACGAGCCGGGGTGCCATGATTATGGGGATGTTAATGGACTTCCCTCCCTCTTTCCCCGCCGGACCCGAAACTAGTCCTGCATCCTTAATGACTCCAGGAGGAGGACAGAAGGTGCTGGAGGGGGCTGGCGATGGGATTGGGAATGGTGCGGGCTCACCGGCTTCGCCGTGCAACACAAAGGAGCTGTGTGGGCAGGAGTTGTCTAGCTTAGGGGGAGGGAGGGAGGGAGGCATGGTTCTCCCTGACTCCCAGGGAAAGCATTCACTCCATTGCTCCCCACTTCTTTCGGTCCTCATGTCCTCCAGTCTGTCACACTCCTCATCCCCTCCACACCTCCCCAAACCCCACCCTGTGCCTTCAATCCCCAGTGGCATAAAGATCTTCTAATTGTATCTTTCAAACAGACATCCAACAGTAATACTATACCTTCCAAGATAAAGGGCCAAATGAGACCTGCCACAAGTGGGGTGTGTGTGTGTGTGTGTGTGTGTGTGTGTGTCAATTAAAAAAAAAGTGCTTCACCCGCAGACCCCTCGGAAGCTGACTGGAGATGCCCGCGGTCATGAAGAGGAGCTGAGACTAACCTCAGCCCGGCCAGTGGTCCCAGCACGAGCGCCCAGCGCTCGCTCTTTACATTTCCTTTCAGCAGCAGGTAACCTTTTAGGGTCTCCCGCCAGCCAGCCCAGGCCACTCGGTGCTCCCCTGCACCCACACAATTAGCACCCCATTTCCAAATGCCCCGCAACCTACCACATCCTTGCCGCCTCCAGGGGCCACCGCGAGCAGCTCCGGGAGAGCGCTGAAGGCTCCAGTCCTCCCGCCCCCGCCCCCGCCCCCCGCCCCTCGCCGGCCGCTAGGGTCCCGCACCTCCAGCGCGCCCTGTCCACGGCCGCCAGCGGCGAAGGTCTCCGCAGCCCCCCTGGGCCACCGAACAGGAGTGTCCTACTCACATGGCCGGCCGGAGAAACTGCCCATGAGGTTCCGGAGAGAGCGACTCGTGCGGCTGCCAAGGGTTATTCCTTAAAGTGTTCGGGGTCCGCAGTGGAGTGGGCACGGGCGTCCTCGGAGGCGGTGCGGAGGAGGGTGGTCACAGGAGGAGGCACAGGAGGAGGAAGAGGGGATTCCAGGCAGGTGCCACGTTAGACCATGATGCCGGTGCCCTTCAGGTGGACGGCGGGAGAGGTTCCGGCGGGAAGCGGCCGAGGGGAAGCCCGAGGCGCCGGCGGGGGAGGCAGGAGCGCTTCACTCCCCAGCCTCCGCCTGCCGTGCGCGCCGCGCTAGCGACCGCAGCAGCAGCGGCGGCGGCGGCGGAGGCGCAGCTCCCTCCCCACCCCCCAAAGGCTCCACAGACAATAAATCCTGGGCGGAGAAGAGAGGAGCAGAAAAGGCGAATCGTGCACCCAACTCTGTAACACCCCCTGCCCGCGGCTGCCGCGCCTCGGTTGGGCGGGGGTCCCTGGGGACCAGGGGACGGTGGGCGGCTCGGAGGGGCTGTGCGCTCCCGCGGCTGCAGGCGACCGCGGTGGCCGGAGTGGGCTGCTGCAGGTCCCCTCCGGGGAGAACCCGCTGCCAGGGGCGGGGTGTCCGTGGCTTCGAGCCCGGGGTTCTCCTGGAGTGGGGTCCGCCTCGGTGCAGTGGCTCCGCGCACAGGTGCCGGGATTGGCAGGAGAGGAGGCGCTGCTCGCGGCTGTGTCTCCCTGCTCTCCCCGCCCCCTCTTTTTTTCCCACCCCCTTTTCCGACGACACCAGCTGCAGCTGCTTCAAAGTGTGAAAAATGTCAAGGAGATTTTCCCCGCGACAGGAGGGGGTGACCACGTTCACGGCTCTCGGCCCCTTTTTGAGAATCTCGCTGGCCCCTCTGACCTCTACTCGGGCTCCCCTGAAATCGAAGGAGAAAAATCCCAGTCCGGCGGAGAATGGAAATGCTTGCTTTGTCCCGGCTTTGTCAGAGGCTGCGTTTAGAAAACGGGGCAAGGGGCCGAGCTCCGGGCTTCCCTCGGTCGCCCCCGGGGCGCGAGGAAAGTGCTGGGGACTCGGCGCCTGGCAGCGCGCGATCCCCGCTCCTCCCGCTGCCGGACCGGCCCGGGGCGCTCGCGGCGCGCACGGTCCCGCAGCGCCGGCGCCTGGGCGGCAGAGCAGCTCGCGGCCTCTGCGCCTCCCGAGCGCCTGGGCGCCCGCACCAGCTCAGTGACGCCGAGCTCGTGGCTCCGCAGGCTGCTGCTCCTGCTACCTCAGCAAAGAGGCGGCCAGGAGCGCCTCCTCGGGGTTTCCTCCCCCGCCCGCCTTTCCCGCTGCAGGTTGTTGGATGCCAAGGAGAAAAGTCTCTGCTTGGCGGTTGGGTCGCTTCGCATCAGTCAGTCAAGGCAGCGACCTTTGCGCCTGCTCTCGCTTTCCCTTCTTTTTTGGGGGGGCCTGGGTTGCTGCCCTGGGAGTGCGCAGAAAACAAAGGGGTTTCCCAACTACCCTCCTGCTTTGAACACTCTCACACACACACTCATATACTCCCTTCCATAAAGGCACACTCGGACACTGTATTCTCACGCGCTTATATTTAAACTCATAAGCTGCAATATGCTAAGAAACACATTGATGAAGTTAGTACTATATTTAGATTTCTCTTTTATTCTCTAAACCCATCTGTGAATTCCCTCTTTGGAAACGGCTTTATTATCCTGGAATCATTCTTTTGCGGAAGATAAGCCATAGGTTTTGCTTCCTCACAAGGGGAGAGAGAGAATCTTCTCTTTAGCTCTATAATGCTAATACAGTCAGGCTGCATGCCATTCAATGGCCAGGGTGGATGTAAGCTCATGGTTTACTAAAAAGAAAATGCACTTGCTTATATTCTTAGATTTGCAATGCTAAAATCGTCAAGGTCAAAAATCCTTTCTGGCTGCTAGGGATTTTCTAGGAAGAGTATCTGAAGACTGACACCTCTCCGCAGAGGACCGAGAATGAGGATTCCTTTCCACTTTATCTGGGCCATGAAGGTGGGCTGACTTTTATGGAGAGCCTCCTAGTATTTCATTAATTTAGTTAGACGGAAAAAGAAATGAGAGTGTATTTTGAAAAGCCAGGCCGTTTTAAAACACCACTGAGAAAGGGTTCTAAAACAAATGGCAAGGAGATGAAAAAGATGTTCTAAGGACAAAATTTTTAATTGACCTCTGTGGAGCTCTATTTTTTCACCCATCGTTTTGTCCTTGCAAACATTTTTCACATCTCGGTGTTTCACCTGGGTGTAGTGATATGAAAAAATGTAGGTACTAATATAAAGTTAAAAAAAAATAACCTGCCATAACAAGTATACAACTGTAGCAATCTTTTATAGGCTTCCAGCTCTTTTGGATGCATTTTGCACAGAACTTTCACATACATTCTTTCATTCAATCCTTTCCTAAATTTATTTGGTGGATAATGCCCACACTTCCAGGAAGGGCACAAAGGCTCAACTCAGAAAGGTATCCAGTTGAATTTCATATTTTAACTTCAGGATGCATTCCCTTCAATCTAAATATTTGACAGAAATTCTATTTAATGTTACAGCTAGTTATGAGTATAGATCCTTGAAAACAGGCTATGTACCTACCAATGGCATTATCCTCCATGTGTTAAGTGGACTTGTTTTTCTAAGTGAAAACAAACATTTCTGTTCAATGGGAAGAAAGATGTTTTTGGAACCCTAATTAAAAATTGATGACTCCCCTATATATGTTGTAAACCATATGCTGCTATCCTTTCCCTTTTATTTTATCCTAGAACCACGACTTCAGGCCACAAAGGTCCAAAAGGATAAAAGATTTTAAATATGTGCAGATGTGATGTAGTGCCTATGGGTTTTAACAAACATGATTTTAGCATAAAAAAATAACAAGGGAGAAGAATATTCTCTGTAGAATAGGCTTTGGATACAATAGTCCATTTTTTTTCAAAGATTTCTAAGAATCTTGAAAAATTGGCCACCTTCACTATCTAAACAATGGGCATATTGAAGAGATTTCAATGGTTTCATAGAATGATGGAACTATTGAAATGCAAATGCAGATGCTGCCTCTAAACTCCAAGTTGCCCTGTCATCAACCCTCTGGAAATACAGATGACTATCTGAAAACTGAAGAAAGAAAGAGGAGTGTTAAATATCCTCAGGCTGTCATTCAGGCAGAGGTCCAACAATAAAAACAGAAACAACTTTAAAAATCAGATCAAGCCAGTTTTAACAGATTAGCTGTTCAGATTACATCTGTGAGTGACTAGACATTAAGCCTATAAAATTTTGTAAGTTGTTAATTAGTTACTTTGATTCACATTACTAAATTTTTTGAAATGATTATCTGTTCCTAGGACAAGCAGAACTAACCTTATTTGAAATTTAAAAAGACATAGGATGATATTAAGCAATGAGTTTTAATTTAACTATTTTTCCTAGTCTTTCTCTTTGAAGGCCTGGAATGACACCTTTGCCTTAAATGATTTTCTCTTTATCAATTCTTGGTTAAAATATAACTATGTGTAGAAAGCACAATGATTTTAGCTTTACCAACTGTTACTATCTTAATAGGATTGACTTAATTAGATATTAGTTCTTGGGGAAATAAAAAACATTGTTCAATTTTGATGGAGATACAGGTCTGAAGAGCTCAGAGCTTGGTAGGACAGGATCAATATCAGTGGAATACCTTAAGGGTAGGAAGTGCTGCATTGTTGTGGTTAGCTTTTGAAAAGCAGTGGAGAAGTTCTGAATAGGAAATGAAACTCATTAAGATTCATCTTCAAATTAGTTAGATGGCCTTCACCATGAAGCTTATCTTTCAGATTAATAATCTGTGCTTCCTAAAATGAATGCTTCTTTATTGTAGGTTTTAATTCATTTCCATAATTTTTATTTTTAAACATAAATTTGCATATTTAAGATACACAAAATACAATGAGCACTGATGTACCCACCATGCACCTTAATGAAACGCAGAAATTGAACTGGAATGCCCTGAATTCCCAGGTTCTTGTCTTGATGGTTTCGAAGAACGAGGCCTTGGACAAAAGGTGATAGGTGAAAAGTACAGAAACGTATTGCAAGCAGAAACTTTATTGCAAGCAGGCACTATCTCTAAAACCTAATTCTAAATTCTAAGCCTAGGACTCCGTCCCTCCTGGACAGATATTAAATAGGCTGCAGTTCTTTGTCTGAACCTGACCCCTTCTTATTGGTCATTTTGCTACATAGAATTAGTTTTCAAAGCTCAAAGCCCACATGGTGTCCCCTACCCCCTTTCCCCCTTATCTTGTTGTTTGAGATACTTTTGATTTATCTTATAGCTCTGGCAGTTTACCTTGGCAAAGAAAGCCTATCTTATGGCCCTCCCAGTTACTCAAGTCAGGGCAACTTTTGGCCTAACTTATGGTCACTTTAACTGCTCAGGCCCGCGATACATTTGATTTATGGCTGTCTTAATTGCACCGGCCAGATACACTTCTATTTGCCTATTCCATTTCTCTACTCTCTGTACAAGATAAACACCCTGGCATCTTCAAGTCTTCATTATGTATTTCTTTCCTATAGACCCCTTTTTATTACTAAAACTTCCTAAACATGCCTAATTAAACTAGCTAGCTAACCCTTTCATTAAGAAGGAAAATTGAAGTTTCACTCCTATTCTTCCATTTCTGCTTCCCTCACCCCACAGAGGTTACCTCATTCCTAAACGTTGTATTATTTGTACATTTATATATTCCTTACTGCTAAAAATCTTTTAGTATTTAACCCTTAATAAGTGATATAAAGCAGTATGTATGCTTTCACAGATTGCTTTTGATTTAAAAACAACATTCTGTTTGTGAGAATCCTGATGTGTCACTGTGCTTCACTAGTTTTTACGGCTGTATTGTAACTGACTGTATGAATTTACTATATTCACATTCTGATGACAATATTTGTTTTTATAACTACATCTTATGAACATGTTTGTTTACATCTCTTGATGTATAATTATGAGAGTTTTTCTAGTTTATATATCACATAAAAGTGGATTTCTTGGGTTACAGAATACATTTAATATTAAATTGTTTTCAAACAGTTTATATTCCTGCTATCATTTGTAAGAGTTTTTATTGATTAATATCCTAGCAGTACTTGGTATTATTAGACATTTTCATGTTTTCCAGTCTGAGGGGTGTGAAATGATATGTTATTATGGTTTAAATATATATTTTCCTGGTTACTTATGAGATTGAGCACCTTTTCATAGGTTTATTAACAATCCACATTTCCAATATCAATATTGTCAGTTATAACTCAATTTTAGTTTTTAATCTTAATATGGTCTATTTTTTATAAAAATAAGTTTTAATTTAATGTTGTCAACTTTATCAGTACTTTCCTTAATGATATGTGCTTTGAATTTAATTTAAAGAAAACTTTACTACCCCAATATTGTAAATATATTTTTCCACATTGCATTCTAATGCTTTATAATTTGATATTTTACCTTTCAGACTTTAAACCATCTGAGATTGATTCTGTGTATTGGTGTGAGGTAAGGGATTAATTTTTGTTTCTGTTCTCATTTTTTTTCCTCATGAGGTAATTGATTGTACATAATACTGCACTCTCTATCATAAACCAGCTCATTGGTCTATTTTTGACTGTGTGTTTTGTTTCGTTTGTATCTCCATACTGTCTCAATTGAAAACTTATAAATTACTGTGGTTTCATAATCAGTATCGATATATAAGGAAACAAGGTACTTTGTCTTCTTTAAAATGTCTTTGACTTTTCTTAATCTTTGCTTTTTGGGCTATTAATTCTTAAGCATGATTAGTTCCATTATAGCTTCTTTAATTTTTTTTCACACCATGCATGTCTCAAAAACAGATTGTAAAATCACAAGACCTTGTTCTATCTAATGCTATATGGTATTGGCAATTTTCTCTCAGAGCATTTCAGACTAAATTTATCATGCCAGTACTCCAACAGGAAGATTATCTTACATAAAATGTGAATAAAAAGATCAGCTAATAAGATAATATCTTTATAAAAATAATATAAATGAGTTCACTAACACATTATAGTGTAAAAAACAAACAAAAAAACAACAACAACAAAATACCTCACATATCCAAAGAAATCTGGAAAATGAATAAACTGGGAGGTATCACACAATCTGACATTAAGCTATACTAT